TTCAGCTGATAAATACTGAGTATTCCCAATGATAATTTGAAGAAAGAAGAGGAGAAAAGAAAGAAAGTGGCACTTACCTAATACCCTATGTGTCAGGCACTACGCTAAGTGCTTACAGACACTCTACTGAACTACAAGAAACAAGATATGAAATATATGGGACAGAGCAAAACACATGATGTGGGTTCCAATTCTACCTCTGTGGCCCTGGGCAGATCACTCAGCCTCTCTGAACTTTTACGTCCCTCCTCTGTAAGCACAGGCTAATACCATCTACCCAGCACAGCTGCTGTGATAGCAGCTGTGTATCCAGCCTTTCTCTCTTCTCTGTTCTGGTCCACAACAGAATTAAGGCTTACTGGAAATGACTTGAATGCCTGTTTTCTCAATTCCCCAAAATACGTTACATAGCTAGTACCATTCTAGACACATAGGAGAGAAGTTAATCCACTATACAATGCATGTTTTAGGGCACTGGGGCTTTGTAGATATTAATATAAGCCAGTTTTTTTCTTTTTTTCCTACACCCTGCTTTCTGACATATAAATATCTCTGGAATCTGTGTCCTCCTCCAGGTCACCAAAGTCCTTGGCCTTGGAGAAGGAAGGTCCTCATCACACCTAACTTGGATTACTTAATGCAGCCCCAGAGTCATACCCTTTTACTTGCTACCTGAGCTCTAAAATACAAATCTAATCACATCACTCCCCTACATAAGATTCTTCAACAAATCCCCAGCACCTATAAGATGAAAACCCAAACTCTTTAGCATATCACACAAGGCCTCTACTATATACTGACCTCAAGGAGCCCTGGTGGCTCAGTGGTTAAGCACTTGTCTGCTAATTGAAAGGTTGGCGGCTCTAACCCACCAGCCACTCTGTGACATGACAGTTGGCTTCCATAAAGGTTAAAGCCTTGGAAACCCCATGGGGCAGTTCTACTCTATCCAACAGGGTCACTAGCAGTTGGAATGGACTCAAAAGCAATGGATTCTTTGGGTAACACATTGACCCCACTCCTAACCTCCATGCACCTGACACTCTAGCCCTGCTGGTTAAAAAATGGGCTGTGTGCACATTCTCTGAATGAAACACTTTTCCTTCCTCATCTGTACTGGTGACTACTATACACTCAAGTCTCAGGGTAGCCACCGTGTATTTTAAAAAGCCTTCTCTTACTCTTCCATTTGGTAGAGTACCCAGAAAGTGTTTCCAATGTACTCAGTGAATATTCTGATGAAAGAAATCTAACACTGAATTACATCGACTACTCACTTACCAACTGTCTCATTATCCAACATTTTGCCTTTACAACAAGACTGAAAGATCTACTACCCAACCATTTTGTGTGCTAACAACATGTGCCTGACAGTAACAAATGCTGAGTTGTGAGTGAGACTAATGCTGGCTGCGATGGCTAAGGTTATATGTCAAGTTGGCTGGGCCATGATTCTCAGTAGTTAGGTGGTTATATAATGATGTAGTCATCCTCCATTTTTATATGACAACCTGGTCTTTGGAACCAACCATGTTGGTAAGTGAGGAGTAGGGAATAGTTGTTTACTTAGCGATCAGCCCTCCCCTATGCTAAACTCTTAAGAGTCACTTGAGCTATATCCTTAATTTTTAACAAAATATCTAGCTAAGCTAGATGCTTGGTAAATGGTGAACAGGTGGCTAAGTGAATGCATTTCTAACTATAAGCATTTTTATCAGGTCATTGTATTTTTTGCATGTAATATACTGACCACATATCTATCCTCCAACATGAGGTAGATGAAAGCCATCTGGAAAGCTGGGAAATTCAGTGAATATAGGGAATATGGAGAGGAGTTCTGACCAACAGAGACCCTACAGGCAGAGCAGAACTGGCCCGTAGGGTTTCCAATGCTGTAAATCTTGGAAATCTTATATTTTTCCAAGGCTTGTAAATCTCGAGACTGTCTCATTTTCCTACAGAATGACTGGTGGGTTCAAACTGCTGACTTTTTGGTTAGCAGCCAAATGCTTTAACCACTGAGTCTTCTGTAACTGACTCCATGGCAGTGGATTTGGTTTTTGTTTTTAAGAGAGGAGGAAGCAAATTACGTCCTCAAGGCCACTCCAGGCCCCCTCCCTCCAGTTTCTGTAAATAAAATTTTATTGTAATACTGTCATGCCCATTCATTTACATATTGCCTATGGCTGTTGTAACACAGACTTAGAATATTTACTATCTAGCTCTTTACAGAAAACGTTTCCTGGTCCTTGGTCTAGAACATTTTGGGGATGAGGAAGTGTGACTTTTGGTGTAAAGGTGAATGCACATTTTTATAGTTGTTATGTGGCCTAGACCTTTCAGAAGTAAAAGATGCTTTAACTGATATTTTCAGTAGTCTGATGAATTTAAATTTATTATTCTAAAAATTCTAAATTGAAATCAGTTTCAAGGTGGGCCCTTGGGACAGCAGTGATGAAAATCATAGAAAACATGTATAGAAAGCAATTAAAAACAACCAATCCACAACTTAAACAGAAATAGAAATAATATACCACAGCTGGTCGAGAAGCGCAGGATTCTTCTGATTGCTGTGGTTTGGCGGGTGGGCGCCCATCATACTGAGGAAGTGGAGTTGGGTATAACACAGTAGGTATCTCTATGTTTAGTCCAGGAAGTCCATGAAACATGGATTTCTAATAAGGAGAATTCAGGAAACACATGCACATACACATATGCACAAAACATAAATCACAAAACAGAATTATTTATTATGTTCTAGATCACATACACCAACCAATTCACATTTAGAAGCTTACTGAGGAAATAAAAACAGAATAGAATATAGATACTGTCAAGGTTTAGGGCTTAAAGGAGAGATTAATCTTGTCTGGCCTTCAGCAAGGTCTGACCACAGTAAATTAGGTTAGATTTTAGTTTATTATTTTTATTTGTTAATTTTAATAATTCACCCAATCATTTTTATCCAATTATTTTACCTATCTCTTGTTTTTTTTTTAACCAATCTATCATTTTAATTTGTATTACATATTTCCACATCTAGCTATCTTCCTGTCTATTTATTTGACACTAGGGGAAGAATTAAAATGCCAGTTTTTATTCAAGATAAAGTTGGATTAGTATATGTAGCTCAGACCTGAGGTTAGCATGAAGTGCCCTCCTTTTTCTCAGCTGAACTGAAGACAGCTGCATTCCCAGAAAGGTGGACTGACTTCTCCACCGTTTGCCAGGCTCAGAAGGTAAAGGATGGCAGCCTGCTGACTGGCCTGCCTACTATATGGAGGAGGACGCCAAGAAGTTGGTTTGGACCTCTTTCAAGTACAAGCACGTTCAACATCACCTAAAATCAAATTACCTAAAAATCACACCTCAAAACCTAGCCCCTTCCCAAGTTAAGATTCAGAGAGAAAATTCTGACACATTTGTTAAATTGAGTTTTATTGTTTTCTGTTCTTAAATATAATTAAATATAAACATTTATTTTTTCTCTCTTAAAATATAATACTTTAAAGCTAGTCTGAGAGTGATTATGTAAACCTGTGCCTGGGGTTTAAACAGGAAAGATACCAACAGAACTGAAGCCTTGGGTTTAAATGAGCCATGTCTTACCTTTAGCACAGCTAGAAGGGCTCCAAGTTCCTCCATCTGGGTCAGTTTCATCTTCCCACCATTCAGAAGTGACTGAATACCTTTCAATGCGTTTTGTAACAACTAGGAGAAAAAAAGGAGACCAAGTTAGAAGGCATAATAAAATTTGATCATCCAAGGATCAACTTTTTAGTACCATTTAGGATGAAGAAGTCTTTTTAAAAAAATAAACTAAAGGAGATCTGGCGGTGTAGTGCCTAAGGCATTTGACTGCCAACCAGAAGGCTGGTGGTTCAAACCCACCAGCCACTCCTCGGAAGGAAGACTGGGCAATCTACTTCCGTGATGATACTGCCTCGGAACCCCAGGAGGGGGTTGCTCATTTAGGATGAAGAAGTCTTTAAGGGATGAAAAAAACATTTAGACAGGGAAAAAACAAAAAGCAGAGATGAAGATCCAGAGAATAGACCTAAGAGCTACAGGGTTCCACTCTGACCACCCAGTCATTAAGTTAATCCTGATGTAACCTGAATAGCTAATTTTAAAAGTTTTCAATATTATTGCCTTTCACTATCTGACAATGGTTAAAGCACTCAGATGCTGAGTGGTTAAAGCACTCAGATACTAACCAAAAGGCTGATAGTTTGAACCCACCAACAGTTCTGCAGAAGAAAAATGTGGCAGCCTGCACCCGTAAAGATTTATAGCCTTGGAAACCCTACAGGACAGTCTACTCTGTCCAACAGGGTCACTGTGAGTTGTAATCGACTTGACAGCAGTGAGTTTATTTATCTTGATAAATCTGATCTTTATTTGTCTTTGTGGGACAGCATGAGAAAGATAACATCAGCAAGTTAACACTGCAACACCGAATGTAATACATATTGCTAATGATAAGATGTACCAAAAAAAAAAAAAAAAAATGGATGTAAGTGTGGTCTGTTATAACTCAAATACATCGTAGGTCAGGGACTATCTGTACTGCTAATTATTTTCTACAATTTTTTTATTGTATATGCTTATAAATCATCGTGTAAAAATGGGAAGGAAGGAAAAAAGAAAAGATGTTTAGTGGGAAGAATGTGGTAAGGAATCAACAAGTAGAAGAGAGATTAAAGTGGGAGTAGTGGCCAGGGCCAC